CTCTTCAAATTTCACTTGCACCAATTCCTCCAAAATTACCCATCATCTTTGAATATAAAAAATCTCTCACTTCTCTTCTTTTTAACTCTTAAACTCTTCTTCATGCTCTAAGCTTGTACCTTAGATTCATAACTCCATTATACTCTACTTGTACTCTCAATTGCCTTATTGATGCTTTCAATAGAAGCACCAAAATTTTGACAAGAAGACGAGTCTTTTTAAGAAAATATGGAGTCCATGATCACAAGTAGGTTATAAGAAGACACAATGTCATTTCAAATCAAATCAAATATAAAAGGCAGCCTAAAGGTTAGGTATAATTTATAGATTAATTTCTTTCTTGTATTAGAATGTACCAAACTTCTAACTATAATTTCAAATCTAAATTCTTTTTTACAAAAATATCTATAATTTATTTATTATTAATTCAATTTAAACAAAATTTAACTTATTGAGAATTAAAAAAAGAAAAAAATCCAATAAATGGCAAGGAAAATCTCAAATCAATCTAAAAATTTATAATTTGAAAACTCCAACAACTTTCTTCTTAAAAATTTGCTTGAATTTCTTTCTTCATAGCTCTATTTCTTTTGTGCTATAATTTTTTGAAAATCTCACAACCAAATTTAGATTTTTTTTAAATATCAATATAAAAAGATAAAAATATCAAAATTAGTATAGAAAAACTTAAAATAGTATTGAACCTCCTCTTTCAAAAATTCTAGAAAAAAAAAAAAAAAAAAAAAAAAAAAAAAAAAAAAAACCTTACTTGATTCTAAAACCTCCACCTTAACTTTTTTCTAGTATCTGCCTTCAATCACTCTATAGTTGGATATCTATCTTAAAAGACAATATCCTTGAGCCCAAATAATCTATTCAAGGTAACAACGTCTTATTCTAAATCGTATTTAAATTCGTAAATATTTTAGCATAATGTTCTTCCTCTCCTACTAGTGAAATTAATTACTCTCCAAATAACTTTGATGCACTTAATTTAAATGCATCATAGTAACATTAAAAATACATGGAATTTCTATCCTAAGAACATTGACAAACTAATGAAAATCTATAATAGTTACAAATTTATTTTTACTTCTATCAAGAGTAAAATCCATAATTTTTTCTTCCATAGATATTTTAAATAAATCCACAAGTCAAAATAGAGGAGAATAATCTGTAATATCTAATATAAAATAGAAATTTCTAAAATGAAAGATAATAAATTATCTTTTAAAAAAATATTATTAAAAAATTAAATATTAATTTAAAAGTGGACAATTTGAAACCTTTAAAATAAAACAATAGAAGTAGGATAATCGTCTCACTTCTAAAAACAAAACAAAATCAATGAGTTGAAGTTCTTATCAAGCTATGAAAGATGTGAAGGTAAATTTTAATCCTTAACTCAAATTCTAAGATGGCCTTAATTAAGAATTGCTTATAATTGGTGTCGTAAAACAGAAGTAGGAAGAATAAGAACAAAAGAAGCACAACATATAACAAATAGAATAAGTACAATGAAGCAATCATACTTTATAAAACTAATCACAATCTGTTTATTAAATTTATATCAAATAAAAAGTAAAAATAAAAGTAAAAAACATCTTTTTATATAGATTTTTTTTTAAAATATTTTCAATGGTATAAGATTTATGTAAATTTAAATTAATATAAATAAGTTATGAAGGTTTAAAAATAATAAATAAATAAATAAATAATTAAGTAAGTAATTTTTATCTCAAGTATAACTTACTTAAGAGATCAAGAGTTTGAGCCTCACCAAGGCTCACAAGTAGTGTTTATAGATCTCTAAGAGAGGCCATGAGGCCTTTGTCTTATCTTCCTAACTACCTTCAAGGTATTACAACCCATATGGAGCTTGTACATCTGTCTTTTTACAAGGTCTACACTAGTTGTTGATCCTCATATTTTCTACTAGTGAAACCAATATTTTTATATTTTTGACTTCACCATGGTATTTAAGAAAATCCAATTGATCTAGGAACCTTGTATAGCCTTCAAATCTTACTCTATTTCTTCATAATGGCTCCCAAGGTAGTAAAACTTATTTTTACTAAAGTCTTAAAAATTGCTCTAAAAAATCCTAAAAAATTCTAAATAAATTCCAAAAATTCTTATAATATTTTTATAGTACTAATATAAATTTAAATATTTATAATCCTATTTTATATTATTTATAATAATAAAATTAATTTAAATAAATTATAAATACTATTTCCTAAATAATTAACTAAAAAGACATGAGATTTATTCTCATACTTCTTTTAATTATTAAAAAATATTTTTAAATTTTTTAATATTAATATTTATAGATATAAGGCCAATATAAATATTAATCTTAATAAATAACCTTTGATACTTATTAATAAATAAAAATACTAAACCAACTAAGATAATTGCATCCAAGACTTATTAAAACTCCATTTCTACAACTAACATTCCAATTTTCTATTTCTCTAAGGATTTCTATACTACTCATCATATATTGTAGTTTTAAGCATTTTAAATATATCTTTTCATCCTAAAACAATTAGTGAATCAATTTTATTATTTACACATGGCAAACATTTGGAGCATCTTGTAAAGGAGAAGAACCTAGAATTAATTGTATAAAATCTGCTACTTGAAAAGCAACATGGGTATAAAAGTTGTCAATTTTTTTAAGATTAAAGTAAAAGAGCTATTGCTACTTAATATTGCTAAGTTGGATTGATCTAGCTTATTATTCAAGAAAAGCGAAGGACTTAAAATCTTTATTGATTAAGACTTTTAAAGATAAGAAAATATTTTAAAAACTTGAAATATTAATATTCTAGAATCTTCTTCAACTTGAAAAGAGTATGACATCAACCTTATAAGGCTTACATATCCTTTGGTTGTTTATTATTGGTCTTTCCTATATTAATACTAGTTTATTAGGATAACTTATTTTTTCCAACTGGGTTCAAATTTGGAATACTTTATTAACAATTCTTCACTTGACCAATAATTCTACAACCTTTGGATGGTTAAATAAGACTTAACTAATACTTCTTAATATCTACCAATTTTTATTTTTTTATTTTTTTTATTTTTTTTATTCTCTAAAAATATAATTAAATAATTTTTTTATTTGTTTAAATATGTGGGATTTTTTTGTGAAGAACTAAATTGAATAAAAGATAAAATGAATGAATATATAAATTTCTTATCTTAAATTTTAAAGTTTTAGTTCTCTAAATTCCACCCAATTTTGATGATTTGCTTCTTAATTGATTGAATAAGAGTGAATTTAAGAATGGACTATTTTATCATGTACATAGTAAAATTTATATTCTTTATTCTTTATATCTATTTTTTAAAGTTCTAGTAGGAAAATCTTCTCCATTAAAAGTTTGTAACTAAATTGAATTGTTTAGAAAGACTTCTTTGATTAGATACAATCTCAACTATATGGAATCAAATTTTTCTAAGAAATCTAGTCTCATAACATCTTATAAAAGAACCAGCATGTCAGGCCTAAAAATTCTAATCTTATGTCATTTATCAAAGGTAATATTTTTTCTTCTCGGAATTACCTTTATATGTTGAGCACTTTATTTTTTGGCTTCATTAAGATTTTTTAACCAATTAAGCTTAATAATTAAAGATTATTTAGTTGACAATCTTTTTGTCAAGGCAATATAAAGAGAAGGAATCTCAAATTTGATTAGTAAAATAGATTCTATACTATAAACCAAGGATACTGGAGTTGTTGAGGTTTTCACCTTGAATGCCATCATATAAGTCTACAAGGCCATAAGAAGTTTTGTGTCTCAATCCCGTTTAAATGTTGTCACTATTTTTTTGAATATATTAAATAAAATTTGGTTGACCTGTTTCAAATGGCCTTTGATTTGAAGGTGATAAAGAGTAGTCTTTCTATAATCAATTTTAAATCATGAACTCAAGTCTTTTATTACTTTATTTAAGATTTTTTTTTTTTTTTTTTTTAATTATTAATCAGGATTTTTGGACATCTAATTCAAGTGATTATCTACTCATAGAAGAATTTAGTATTGAATAAACAAGGCACAAGTAAGTAGAAATCAACAAGGTTAGACATAAGAGAAGTGAGGAATGAAATACCTCTCACTTCCAATACCTTTTACTTATAGATAGAGTTTACATCCATTGTGGCTCAACTTTATTCTCATTCATCCTTAATTCATCCAACTGAATATTAGATTCCAATTAACCTAGCTCTCACTCCAAACCCTAGCCGCCACTATAAATCCTAGCTACGACATTGGTACCTTTCATATTACCTTTTGCTCTCCTTTAACCAATAGCAACTTACGTTAGGTAATATCTTTTATTTGTCCAACGCTTACTTTATTAATTCATGCTATGACAATACATTAGGTAGCTTCTATAAGAATATGTTTGTAATATAGTTGTTAAATGTTGCATTTAGACTAATTTTTGTTTATACTATAGATATGAGTGACCTAAATCCGTAAAATCCAAGTTTAAAAATTTAAGGTTCCTGAATTTAGGATTTAAGATTTGGGATTTTAAATAAATATAATAATGACAATAATATAGTTGAAAAAAATACAAGAATTAGTTGTTATGATGTGGTGAAATGACAAATCAATACAATTCTCCACTATGAAATAGAGAAGCCAAAATTGAAATAAAATAAAAAATAAAATGAAAGGAAAAGAAAAGAAAAATTATAAAACATTAATTTTAAGATTTTTTTCATATCTTTACTCATTGCATCACAAGCAGCATTCTTCTCAGACCAAGTCCACACCAAAATAGAAGCACTGCTGGGTCTCACCAACGGATGAACGCGTCAAATGGACGAACAAGGCGACGAACGAAAACATCCTGGACGGATGGGTGGTAGGTCGACGAACAGACGTGCCAACGAAGGAAAAGAGGGGATGAACGCATGGATGAACGAGAGCAGGCCGTCCAAAGGAGGGGGGGAAACAGAGGTGGCGGAGGAGGCTGGCCATGGAGGGAGCGAGACCACGGACGCAACAACACCAACACTCCTCCGTGTGTTTGTTTGTTTGAGCCCAATAAGGCAGCGATTGCACGCGCACGCCTTGTATCTTGTCACCGAAGTGGGTTTATGTTCGAAGTGGGTTTCTGTTGTGAATCTTTTCGTGTACAGACCAGCGCGCAAGGGGGTTAAAGAGGTTTCTTTGCTTGGGGATCAGACCTGGCGAGGAGTTTGCTGTTAGACATTGGTGGGGCGATCGAAGACATATCATCATGTTCAGCAGGTTGTTTTCGAAGGCCTCGCATTTGCCCAAGCGAGGCGCACATCATGGCCATCATCACGACGCAGCTGTTGCAGGATCGGGTGGCGGGGATGGAGCCGTGACCGTCGAGGAACCGGGGCGAGGAGATTCAACGCCCGCAGCTCGGGGATCGCCTGGTGCCCAAGATAAGGATCGGGAGGTAGGTCGATGGGTGGAAGGGGTGGAATTGGAGGATCGTTGAGTTGGGTGAACTTGTGGGTGGGTGCGGGAAGAGAGTGTTGTGAATTTTGATCAGTGGGGGGGGGGGGGGGATTTTGAACTGTGGGACAAGAGGATGGGGCTTGAGTTTGGTTGTGAATGGCAGTTTTCCATGTAGATGGGGTGGGGTTTTAGTCGGTAGCAGGGTTCTTCGAGTCGAGGATTGTTGTAATTGTTTAATTTTTTTTTACAATTTCTTGTAAGGAGCGGAAGGACAACTCTTGGTCGATTCTCGGATTGTAAGTGTTGCAGCGATGCTAGCTTTCACTTCTAAAATGCGCGACTACTCGCTCACTGTCACTGACATGAATAGTTTGTCTCTAATTGCCTGGATCTTTGTAAGGCTCGGCTGGTAGTGTTTGAATTTGAATATGGTGCTACAGAGAATAAAGGTTTTATGAAATTCTGAGTGAGGGGTTCTACATGTACAGAATCAGGCCCTAGTAGGAGAGGGAGGATTAAAATCCGAGCAGCTACACCCGCGGGTCGTTGGACATGAAGGCATCCCAGCAACTGCCTCAATTCTCGCATTTGAGGCCACTCAAAGTGTTCTTGCTGTGGCTTCTTTGTATGTCAATTTTCACATTATTTTTCTAATTCTCAGAGGGTTACTCTTCGAGACTTCCTAAGAAGCGTTTTAGGTTAGATGGGGTCGACATTTTTGAATTTGTCTCCAAGCCGCAATCACATGGACCAAGTCTTGAATTTGAGATCAGTGTCGAATTTCCTAAATATCCAGGCTTTTTGACTGACAAAAGAAGTGCTTGACTGTTGTTCACTATGGTTGTTAATGCTGATTACTACTGGGTTCTAGAAAACCTAGGGAATCGGCATAGACATCCCTAGGGTTTTATGGTCCAGCTATACTGTCGATGAGCTAGTGCTGGTCTTTCTTTGTTATCTGGAGAGAAAGCAGTATATATTAATTATTAATGAGTGTTGGTATTGGTGTATATCATGGGCACGCTGGGAGGTTAGGGTGGCCTACAATGTGCATGCTTTCCTAGATAATATTTCTTTTAACTGTAGATTTGTAAGCAGTCAGCAGATAGTTCTATGTGTTGTTCATTTGCGTTGCATCAGATTCATCACGGCGACATGTACAATCGCTGATCCTGGCATTGATGTGTTGACGTTGGAAAATAGGGATGGGCGGATCAAGTTGTTTGGTGCACCTGGCATTGAAGTGCTGTTACAGTCACCACTTCGAGCACCCTGCAAATATCTTGAGGTGAGCTTTTGTGTGATCTTGAACTCCTGCATCTCCCGTGCTAAAATCATGGCATATTGAAGGTCTGATCGAACATTTCATGCTAATGTGTGCAGTTTATGAATTATGGAAGACAATTAGTCAATGTCACCACTCAGAATGATATTGAGGTGAGATCTATTTGGTCTGCTTGTACTTTTTTATTTTTAATTTTACATTCCATGCTGTCCTCATTTATGACGGCATTATGTCAGTATCATCATGAGAAAACCTTCTCAGAGCTTCCCTGGTTCTACCTACGAAGTAAGTACCGGTCTTGGCGTTTAGATCTTACTAGATTTAATATTTCCATATTTTCTCCAGGTTTGGAACCTGGGAAAGCTGGAGGTGGCGTCTTCAGTAAAATGGGAACATGACATCACTGCCATCGCCGTCTTGCAAGGAACTAATTACATGTACGCATTCGTTATCTAGAGAGTGCTAGATGTGTAAATTTGATAATTTTTCCTCAAATCTGAGGTGTTCAGAGGTTGTCATGTGCTTGTTTCAATTCATGTGGAGATGAGTGTTGTACCTGAACCAATGAAACAAAATATCGATGCTTGTTCCAACGTTATTCCTTTTGTATCTTGTTGTCAATTTGTTGACACGAGTATGACCACAGAGCTCGACAATTGAACTGATCTCTTTAGCAAATTGGTAGTAACAGTCTTATCGTGCAGGTATGTTGGAGATGACGTTGGAACTGTCAGTGTACTGCAATTGGACGAAAGCTCAAATGAACTAATCAAGTTGCCTTACTGTATTCCTGCATATGTTACCCTAGGTAAATTTCTGTCCGACCTCCAGTTCAGTAAAGTAGTGGTTCTCCTGTTATGTACATGCAAGTTCAAATTATGCTTGTTATGTCGGATATAGTGGCACATAGGTGTTTAATTTGTGATTATTATGCATTTTCAGGTGGGTTAGTAAAATCTGGAAGTCACTGTGCACCTTCTGTCGTTGGCATCCTTCCGCAACTGAATGCTGCATTTAGCAGGTACTGCTACAATTGATCAATTTCATGCAGCGTAGGGGTGAGTTTTTCTTCTATTAGATACAAGTTCTAAAGATATAGGATGGCCGATTCAGTGTAGAACCTTTTACTTAATGAGTACGGTTGCGTGTCCTGCACAGGCTGGTCATTGCATACGGAAATGGTTTACTGGTATTATGGGATCTTAATGAGACTAAGGTTCTTGCCATTCGAGGTGGCATAGAATCACAGCGGAAGCGGTTAGCTGGACACGAGCAGAATTCTGACCGCCGACGTACTAGCACAGAGAAATCGGGTGATTCTGGATCAAAATCTGAAGTTGAAGACGAAGATGATGAAGAGAGAGAAATTTGTAGTATTTGTTGGGCATGTCAGAATGGAAGTGTTGTTGCAGCTGGCTATGTGGATGGGGATGTTTTATTATGGACTATTCCTTCACCAGCCAACGAGGGTGGCTCAAGCGACCTAACGGAGTCGAACCTGCCATTCATTTCTGGGGCACCTTTGCGCAAAATTGACTTAGCACCAGGCAAGTCCATGAAAATGCCAGTGATCTTATTAAAATGGTGTGCAAGCGGCAAGGGTGGCAAAGATCCAAAGGATCTCACCGGTCAGCTTTTTGTGTATGGGGGTTCTGATCTGAATGCAACTCCGGCTTTGACGGTGGGTTTAAACCCTACTTATCTGTTTCTATCACTCTCACAACAATATAATATATCACCTATTTCTTTTCTTTAGAGAATGATAGAATATGTGTTTAGCCAAGTTAACTTGCTTGGCATGTAGAAGTGTCATGAAGATAGTGTCTTTTACAAGAATTTTTGAGGCTATCGTACTGGAATCTGAATCGCAAATTTTCCTAATTTGAGCTAATTTCTTTTTATCTGTGAAGGCTTTGTCGCTGCATGGAGAGGTAAGTGAGAAGTTGAAGCAGCTTGAGCTTCCACTTCAAGGGCCATTTGCAGATGCAGTAACGCTTTCAAGACCAGGTGGCACCTTAAGTACACGAGTGGCTGGAATTTTGGTTCTGACTTCTCCTGGTTTGCTTCACATGTACGATGGTGCTGGCATAGTCGCGCGTTTTTTCTCTTCACCTGAAGAGTCCGTGAATCAAGCATTTTTGCAGACTCTTCCCTGGGAAACACCTTTTAAAGATGCTGTTGTTTCTCAGTTATTCATGGTGTCGACTGACTCATTAACAGCTAAAGTGCTGCTTCAGGTGATGATTGAGTACCTTGTGTTTGCAGCTTATCCTCTATAAAAAAATAAAACTTTTCGCTGCAGAATGGGTATACCGAGTTAATCCAATCCAATGAAACTAGCCAATGTTTGTTCGAGTATTTTTAAGTCTGTCGAATGCACATAAGTATTGAATAAAACTCGTCTAGTTTTCTACTCTTCAATTACGTTTTATTTTAGTGTGCCATCTGTGTAAGGTCTGATCTAACAGGCATTTATGACTGGCAGTTAAGTTCAGGAAATAAGTATCCTTTACCTACACTAGGTTTTGGAACAAAATGGCCAATCACTGGAGGAATCGAGAACACGTCCTCCAATGCCAACATGAAGCAAAGACTTCTGCTTGTAACAGGGCGCAATCGTGGCGGCATCCAAGTTTGGGATGCTTTTACACCTCCGATGAAGTTGTTGTGCATTGTTAATTCTCAGGTAAATCTGATGAAAGTGCTGCAGGTGACTGGTTCCCTGATCTATTTGCTACGAGATGTATGCTTTAAGAAAAAGTCTAGCCTTTTTCTCTTCTCTTCACCAAGTTAGTTGATGCTGGGCATGTAACAGTACATTGGCTGAGAGCTATGTTCTTCTCTGCAGACAACGAAGAGCCTATCCCCTGTCTCAGCTATTGCCCTCTGTGAACGATCTGGTCTTCTGGCATACGGTGACCAGGAGGGAAAGGTACTGTCTTCCAATTAGCATGCACGAGTAATTTCTATTAGCAACTTTGAAGAACGCGTAGCAGAAATGTTTGTATTTCATGGAGCCTTAATACAACCTTGAACTAAGCGGTGTTCACACAGGTGTTTATATTTAAACTTAGTACTGAAGCTCAAGAAGTGCCTTGCAAGATCATCAGTGACACTTCTGGATGTATTGGTTAGTATTCTCTACTTCATTGTTGATTTTTAGTGCAGTGTGCCAATTGAAGAGCTATAATATTGATCGCTTTGGTTTCCAAGGTTTTCTTTCTCTAGTTTGGATTTGTATTCCGAAATCGTAGTTCTGGTGGTGTTCATAATCTTTGTTCTTCTTTCCTTTTTAGGAGAACCTGTGAACTGCGCGGCTGGCTACCAGTGCATTGCTGAGCTACGTACTCATCAAGCTGCTATAACCAGTATTACTATTTCCAGTGATTCAGGTCGCCTTGCAGTTGGCGACAAAAATGGAATGGTTTGTGCTCACAATCATTTTGCATAAATTTTAAATGTCTTGTTTTATTCTACAGTAAGTTTTGCTAGTGTTTCGATCGTGTAGAAGTTTTGAGGTTGGGAGTTGGAGGTGGGAAAGCCAAGTATGTTAAGTTATCATGTTATTTACCAGAGCGAAACGTCACTCTTTCTGGTCCATGCTAAGCACAGTATTGAAATTCCTCTTAGGAAATTGATTATAAATAGCTTTTTTCTGTTGATTCAGATATCGATTTTGGATCCTGCAAATCTCTCGCTTTTATTTTCTGGCTGCTGGCCAGGCTATTCATCATGCATTGCTAGACTGAGATTTTCTACTACACTAGTCCAAGAAGAAAACGCTGTTGATTCCTCCGCTTCAGCTGACCCCAACTCTGGAGAACCGAAGAGTTCTGCGAATGCCATCACAGTGCTATATGCAGTAAATGAAGAAGCAACTGTGGCTGTTATGAACGGGTCTAATGGCGATTTTATTGGTCCAGGTCCCAAGCAGCCTGTAACACCTTCACAAGCATTATGTTTGGATCTTGTAGGTCAGGACTCACTGCGTAACCCTTTTCTACATTCACTATTATGTTTTCTGGTTCCTGGAAAACTGGTGAAGTATACTTGCAGCTTGTCCATCTATCTAACACGAGTGGGTGTAACGGACCCATCCATCAGTTCTTAATTGCACTTTCATGATACTAATACAGCACTAAAAGTTTCTATAGTTAGCATTTTGTTTTACTTTGATCATGGTTGAGATGTTCTTAGTGTAGAATCGTATTTTTTCTCTTTATGATGTGACTGTGTCCCTGCAATTCGTGAGTGTTTCTTATAATTGGATACTTCAGACGTTTCTACCACAGCACCATCCGTTGAAGGAACTGCAGGGCAAGAATCAAGTACGCAATCGTCAGACGCACACCATAGAAGCTCTTGCATCTTTTTGGGTACTCGTGATTGGATCCAGATTGTCTCCATATCCTCTCAGGTGAACAGCAGTCCCTTTCGTGTTTGACCTCTTGTGTGATTTTGCTCAGAAAAGCAACATTGTTGGTTCAAGTGTAACAACTTACTGGTTTTGTCATATATAGCTTGAGCAGTTAAGACATCTATGTTCAGCCCTAGATGATGTTTTTATTTGTTTAAAGTACTTCTCTCAAAGTTCAATTTCGTATTGACATGGTGTGGATGATGAACGATATTTATTTGGTTGGAACTTTCGGTGCTGTCTCACTTCAGAATCACAACCAAGGTAGTCAAGGATAACTGAAGTTATTAACATATAGGCTTTACTGTTCTGGTGTTTGACGTTGTTTTTGATGACCAGGGAATTGGAAATTCTGTGCGTGAAGTGAAATTGGAGCGTCCCTGTTGTTGGGCCTCCACATTTGAAACTTCTAATCACGCTTTTGGCGCCGTTCTGGTGTATCAGTCTGGTCATCTTGAGATACGGTAAAACCATTTAAACCATACTCGTTGTTTTATGATAAGATGGCCTGTACTTATTGAATACAACTTCCAAAAAGAAAATCAACTTGCTAATTCGCTTTACTTTATTTTATTTGTTTTTGGTGCAGGTCACTGCCTGATCTACGAATTTTGGTGGAAACCACATTTGCTCAGTGCTTAGGCTGGGAAATTGAGCCTAGTCACGCAATATTCAGTTCTGCTAATGCACGGATAACTGCGGTACATTGCATCAGTATTTTCTCTCTGATTTTTTATCTTATTATGTATCAGCTATTAGTCACCTGATGTTGTTGGTGTTAATACTGTCTATGGAAGGGTTTGAGATACTTCGAATTTTTATTTTTAATCCACGCTATGCACTTTTGCATGCCCTTAGTTGATGCCCTAATGATTTGGGCTTCCGATATTGGCCTAAATTGGACATTTGTGTGTATTGTACTGTCTGCAGATAAATGAAGGAAGAGAACTTGTTCACCTTTCGGTGCTTGCAGAGGATACTGATTTGAGGTGATTTTGTGTGGCCGAAATGTGCAGTTGTGTTTCGAACTTGATTTTAATGATTCGCAAGCTGGGACCAATGTTTAGAAGAATTGTGCTAGCCATGAAAACCTGTTGTCATGACATTTTTCTTCATCGGCTGCTCTGCATAAATTCCTTGAATTACCCTATTTACAACTGGAACTTCATGCCTTGTAGTTGATCTGATCGTCTCGCTGTCTCTTTAATGTTTCCTCTAGCATGCCGGATTCTCTGCCTCGAATATTTGACAAGGACCTGGGAGCTGCAGCTGCTGCCGCAATGAAGTATACGACTTCTTTGCCACGTAAGAAGGTAGGAATAAAAATTGTGATGACTTCATAAGTTCGAATTGGTTTCGGAAGTAGGTTGAAATGTCCATACTTTTGTGTTTATACGGGACTAGGAACAGTGTTTACTCTAGAGTAATGAAACTATGTGCCTTTCGATCGACTATAAGAGTTTCATGTTTGACTGGAGACTCGTCGTTTGCTGCTGAGGACCAGAAGTTTTATGTGTTACCCAATTATATGATACGTTTTCTCTTGTGTGGAGTAATGTAGAATACATTACGTGAAGCTTTTTTGGACGTGCTTTAATATAATAGATATTTAAGAATGGTGTGTCTTGGGTTTACTTGGAATAGTAACGTATTTAAATCATTGTTGCAGCCTGCGGCAAGTCAAGGATTGTTGGGGGTTATAAAAAGTACGCTTGAACCAGAAAATGCTGTACATCCTGCAGATCAGCTATCCAAGCTTTTCTCATCTCAACCCTTCACGGCCCCTGTAAATCAGCCCTCTGATCTGTCTGTTAAGACGGATTCGCTTGGCATAGACGTTGATCTGGAGATTGGTGAGCCATTTCAGTTTTATTTATTTATGAATTACTTCAAGTTGACGAAATGAGGAGTCCGACCTTTCCATTCTAATCTTGTTTGTTCATAGATGAGACTGAATAAGTCAATTGTTTTTACGAGTCTAGAATTTAACATCTCGTTTTGGTAATTGCAGACGATATTCTGATTGATCTCGGTGAGATGGGTGTAAGTTCTTCACCGTCAGCCTCTGGAGAGCCCAGCACCAATAAGATTGTTCTTCATAGAGTAACAGAAACTACTCCTCCTAAAGGTACGTGTTTTATACTTGTGTATGTATGTGAGAATACAGTACTTTCTTTCCCTTGTGTGTTTTATAAAGCCATTTGAATTCAAGCTTTAAGAGTACTTATTGAGCCTGTCGTCAACAGCCTTTAACATTGAAGTATTTAATAATGGGTTTTAGAGTTTCTTCTAAGTCTCTTGTTACACATGTAACACCATGACACTGTTCGCTTATTCAGAAAAGCCACCTCAAACCTTGAACTTTGATATCAGCAACTTGCTATTTCACTGGTCAAAATCCTAGTACTTTCTGTTGTTTTGAATTGTACGAGACGATCCTGGCCTCACATTGTTATAGAATATTAACAGAATCAAATGAATAAAATGGGTTATTTCCCTTGCATGGCCTGTCAACTGTGCAAGCAGGAAAAGAGGTGATGAGCGAAGAGACCACTAGGTCGCAGTTGTTTGGAGATGACGGTAAACCAAGACAGCGTACTACCGATGAAATCAAAGCTCGTTATGGTTATGCCCCCAAGGCTGTGGTAAAACTGCCAGCTTTATTCTCTCGAGATTAGAATCTGATACATACACTTGTTGACATCTACGTGGTTGAAATTTATGCATGATGTGGATGAATTTACCATTCTATTTCTTATTACTCAGTGGGAGATAACGTCTTCTGTGCAGGATGCCACAAATGCTGCTGCAATGGCTAGGGATAAACTAATGGAGCGAGGTGAAAAGCTTCAGGTAAGAGTAATTCTAGTTAGAGGTTCGTTTTCAGCATTACAGTTTTCCTCACATACGTGCTTTCTTTGCGTAGATTATGTCCAAGTTAGCTCTAATTAGGTCGTTTTCATGTATTGTGACAGCAAATTTTCCTTGTAGTTCTCGATTTAATTGCTATCAAATCACTTTCCATTTTCTTACCTGCCATTATGTTGCATCGCAGTCCCTTAATGACAAGACGGAAGAAATGACTCTAGGAGCTGAAAACTTTGCATCATTAGCTGAACAGCTGGCCAAGAAGTATGAGAAACGGAAATGGTGGGAGTTTTAATTATCAGCACCGATCGTTCCCTTTATAAAGCTGCAAATGGATTGTCATTATCTTCAATATTTTGAGAATGAAGCAGATATATGTAAATTGGTTACAGTAAAGTTGATCGCCACATTAGTTGCAAGTATTCACAAAACTGGGATCTTCAAGGACACGAGAGGCAGCTAGGAAGATCTTTGTGATGAAATTCCTAGTGTGCCAGCATTTTAGAAAAGCATGCTTTAATCCATGTGCCACTCAAATGTACTGGCCAAATCTGTTCAAGAAAACACCACCATAACTTCAAATCATTTTTTCCATCATATATTCGATTAAATATGTGTTTAATTTAAGGTATTCAAATGTCATGTTAGTATATGTGTTAAAAGTTTCGTTGGTATTTGTGAAATTTAAATTCTGTCTTAAAGATGTTTGTTTATAATCTATTAAAGTGGTCATGAATTAATCGATGTGTTATTTTGAGAAGGTGTTTTACCAATCCTGATGGTCCTATACAAGTGCCAAATTCCATGTTTTCTATAAATAGTAGGTTGTATGAATGTGGGGTTGATTGATTTTCTTTTTCAAACATGTCAGAGAAAATTAGAGAATGGTTTGAAACATTTACTTTAGAACACATTAAATTGCCAACAATACATGATAACTAACATCACATGATTATTTTCTTTTTATATATTTTTATAAAATAAATCTTGAACTTTAAAAATATATAGAAAGGGACATTAATAATTATTCAAAAAATTATTGATTCTAACATCCTAAAAATATTTTGAAGTGTAAAAAAATCAAAACTTTAAACTTTTAAATCTTTTAGGACTTTTAATACAATTATTACAAACTGGTGGAAATCCTTGCCATTGGGCACTACAATCTTTAGGGCAGCCATCTATTCTCTTCTTCATCTATGCTTCCTTGTTTCCATGTTCCATTTTTCCCACACTTTTGTCAAGTATGAATGAGAAGTTTGCAAGAACAATTGAAGTTCCAAACTCTAATCCTAAGAACCAGGTAAAGGAAATGACTACCCAACAGAAAAGAAGAATTTTGCTCTACATAAGCAGCAACAGATGTTCTAACATGAATCCAGTAAAAAAAAAAATTGTCTTTAGAGTAGTCCAGAATAGTGCAGACTTGCAGCAATGCCAATTTTAAATCTTGGAGAAGAAGAACAAAGAGCAAAGACCAAATTCAATTAGTAGAGAAAGACCATAGTTTAATGTTATGCCAGTAGAATTTTGTTGAAAAAATTGTTCAAAGAGGATTGAACTGTATAGGTCTAACTGTGGGAGACAAAGAATAGGACCCGTGTTGTGAACAAAGGTTTGAAGATTGCAGCCAAAGTGAACTTCAGCTTTAGAAATAAGGATTTCAGAATAGAAATATGGATTTAGCATTCAAAATTGAAATCCAGATATGACATAAAAATTCAAGTCCAAAAGATATGGCCCTGTACTGCAAGGACATCAAATTGCACAAGAACAACATAGATCTAATCGTAAATATATCAAAAAATAAAAAAAAAGAAAAAAATCCACTACATTGTGAGAGTGTAAGTCTGCACATACTGTATTTAATTCAAGTAATTTTTAATTATTTGGGAATTTCTTTTTATTAAGGTTGAATGAGAAATTGTTGAGATCCAATAATCGGTTTCAACCTCCATTCATTTGAAATAGACAAGATTAGTACAAAGCATGCACAAGTAGTTCATCAACATTTGAAAAGGTTGCCATTTATCAAAGGATAATATCTTATTTTTCAAATCTATAAAAAATATTTAAAAATGAATGTTTTCTTTTCTTTTTAACTCATGATCTTATTTTCTATAAAAAAAATAGATTAGTTGGACTTTCTTCTAACAAAAACCTCTACTAGTAGATATTTCTTTGCATTTTTCCTAAGTAATTTTAATAAACAACAAAAATCAATCTTATAAGCCTAAATAAACAATACAAATATTTTTTCAACAAGACATAAATATGTTCCAAAATATTTACAATAGGAATATAACATCATAACATGCAATTTCTTAAATATATCTATTTTCTTTTTATTGAATAAAAAAACCAACTAAAATTTCAAAAAACATCTAACCTGAGTACATTTTGTATACACATTAACCAACTATAATATAGGTTCTTATCGCAAATTCTAATCAAAATAACTTTCAACCACTCTTATTTCTTTCCACCTTTTTGATTCTACCAATTAAGAAATCACAAATAGAATCCATTTTTCCATTGAAATTAAATTTATCTAAATTCTATTTTAACTTCTTTAGTCATAAGTTTGAACTAAAAAATTTCATGTACTACACTTAATTATTTTGACAACAATATCTATAATAGATAGACGTAGTAGTATTAATCACACTAACTTAATACCACATTCTTGTAATTTCTAACTTATTATTAAAAAGTACAATAACAAAGATAACAAAAGTGTTAGTCTCTATACTAATTGAAAGATCTTTTTGCATCTATGTCTCTATTAGTTTTTTTTACATAGTACCACCATTAAATAAAAAAATACATAAACATATCTCTAAAAAATAAATGCTTTTAAACAAAAAATTATCTAAAAAAACAAATTATAAAATCTGAAATCATTAATGTAAATTTTACAAATAATTCTACAATTTTTTTTTTGTTGTATTCTTGATAAAATATTTAAATCCTACATCTCAATTACAAAAAGAATACAATCCATTAATATTACTTATTTATTTATAAATATATATAAATATATAATATATTAAGTATATTAAAAAATATATATACATAATTTATAGAAGAATAAAAAATAAAAACAATTCATATTTTAAATTCATGATCAAAAATTTTACTTAGGATACATTAAAATTATAGTTTTTTATAGTATTTAGCTTTAACCTATTTTCTTCTAACTCTTTTTTATATATTATATCTTTTCATTTTAGATTGTTTAATAAGTCCAATACATAAGAATTTTTTTTATGATTCTCATAAAAACATTCAACATTAAAAAAAAAAATCTTCAAAAAAATAATAATTAATATAGATGAATAGAAAAATAATAAAAAAAAAAACTAAAAATAAATACATGGCTAGCATAAAATCTAGTTTTGTAGATACCTAACAACTTAGTAAAGCATGTGACTCTATAGCTTAAGCCAAGGTGTAAATCTTTACCAACAAAGGCATGCAATCTAAGCTATTATTAATTCAAGTCATCCATGTAATCTTATTGTAATCTTAAGCAACATGTCAACTTAGTCTTGAAGGTGTTATTCACAAAATACTTGTCTTTATGTTGTAATCCATCCAATCCATCGCACCTTCAATAGACCATTCTATAATTCAATCGAGTTTAGACTATTACTTATTTTTTTGAAAAAAGCACACAAGGTAAAAAAAATCTTTGTTAATTACTTTAACAACATTGCTACTTGCACCAAAGTTAAAAATGTTATAAGGTGTTGGCATATGAGCAAGAGAGAAGGCACAAAGTTTTCAACAATTACAAGGCAAGACAAACAAGTAAATGTCACAAACATACAACTGAAGAAGGTTCAAGAAGATTCTAGAAGCTTTTAAAAGGTTCTAAGAAGGTTCTTGTAGATCCTAGAAGGTTCTAGAAGGTTCCAATAGGTTCTAATAGATTCTAAGAAAATTCTAGGTCTTAGGAGATCCTAGAAGATTCTAAGAGGCTTTAGATGATTTAGGAAATTATTGAAGAAGGATTTTAGGCTTGCTTTGTTTCCAAGCCTCATAGAAACTTCTCAAGAAGCTTCCTAAGACGTAGTATGTATAAGAATCAAGGGTGAGAGGATTCTCAATCTTGACAACTCACTTCTTGTACTCTAGCTAGGACCTTCTTAAGTTGTATCCAGTTATTGTTCTAATGTCAAGCTAATTCTATTTCTTGGTCTTGAATCCTTATCTTGTACATGGTCCCTAACAATTTGTCAAGGGTGCCATAAGATAATATTAGAAGTTTGATTTTTCTTAATAGAGAATAGATTATCTCAAATGATGGATGAATGTACATTTTACGAAGGCAAGCACTTAATAGCTAATTGTTGGAATTGACAAAGGCAACAATAATTCAGTAATCAGACCATGATCCTACTGACTCAATGGGACATCAATCAAGTTTAAATGAGAAATACGTATGGATGGAATGGAAATCAATCTAATTGATAAAATCAAACATTCAATAACTTTCAAAGTTTCAATTTTAATCAGAGCTCTGCATCAAACTTCCAGAACTATGAGAAGGGGTAGTACATATATCAGCAATATGTTCCACCGACGTCATCAAAACAAGTACCCTCCAAGGACAACCAAGATCATTTTCTAACCCTACATAGAACAAGCCTAATAAGTATATACCAGTGGAGACACCCAATATGCTTGATAAGGGGTACAAGAAGACCACTTCATTGTTTCCATTAGAAATAGATTGTTCATTATGCCAGTGAATGTCCCAATCCCAGAGCGAGTGACGATTATGCACTAATATGTGGGAATTACAAGTAGTCGGGGCATACTTATTAGCAATGTAATGCTCTGTTCAATTTGAATAATCGGAATCAACAAATCCAAAGCCAAGAAAAAAATTTAGGAGATAAATTAAGGTCCTCAAGATTCTCCAGTAAATCGGGTGGAATGTGTCTAAGCTGTTGTCGTAATACGTGAAGTCTTGCTTGAGAATGCTCCGAGCACTTGGCTATGGAAGGAAGAATAGAAATTGTAATAACAAAATTCTAATTCTAATAGAATACCAACAATGCTCTAATTAAACCATAATAATGCTAAGCAAGCTTAATCAAATTCAAAAAAAATCTCAAAGAAATTTCAAAAAAACAATAAGAATTCTTAAAGAAATAATAGAAGAACATAAATGTCACTCAAATATATCTCAATTCAATCTTAATTTAATTCTAGTTAAAATCCTATTGAACTTCATTAAAACTTTAGGCCAAAACTAATTGAATCTTAAATCTTAATAAAATCCTAAAACCTAAATGAAACCCTAAATAAACCTTAAACCAAATCCCAACCAAATCCTAAACCAAATCCTAACCAAATCCTAAACCAAATCCTAAATCCTAAATAAAATCCTAACTAAATCCTAAATCAAATCCTAATGAAAATCCTAAATCCTAAACCAAATCCTAAAAAAATCCTAAATCCTAAATAAACCCTAACCAAATCCTAATCCAAACTCCAAATCCTAATTAAATTCTAAACCCTAAATCAAACCCTAACCAAATCCTAATTCAAACCCTAAATCCTAAATCAAATCCTATCCAAATCCTAA